AGCAGTAGTTAATTGTTTCCATATATAATTTCTTTGAATTTTGTGAAACACACCAAATACATTAATGGTGACAGTAATTAACCATTTTATGTAGGGTACATTTAAAAATTAACAGATCACGGTATCTTAGAGATACTGTGTTTGCTAAGTGACCAAGAGGCTTGAGTTCGATTCCTGTTTGCAGGGTCGCGTCAAACTTCAGAAGTCAACATATATATATGCATGTATTCACTGGTCAGAAAGCACCCGAAATTAGAATTAATCCAGGAGTTTTTATTTGCTTTTTTTTGGGGGGGGGGGGGCTTTAAAACTGAGGACCTGAATTATTGTTTTCGTCGGCATGAAATATATGGTTATGTCTCATTTTTTCTTTGTAGAGCTCGAGGAGACAATGACCTGGATAAGGAAGTCCTCAACAAATGCGCTTCTATTAATAAGATAATGTAACTAAAAATGGGTATCACTGGGCAAAGACATTTTACAGGCATGCATTTTAGATAAATGTAGCACCTCTATGCATTTGTAAATATGCATCATAACAACGCAAACTGGTCTGAGGTGACATAATTCTTATCGCTTCTGTCATCTTATGCTATCTTTTGCTGTGAGCTAAAGGGTACCAATATATATTATATAAACGATGTCTAATGCCATCTACATAGAATTCTTAAAATCACTTGGTACAACGTTTACTTTTGATTAAACGTATTAAGCAAAATAACTAATTGACAGTTCCCATGCATTAATCCTTTTTCTATCTTATAAAATATTGTTAAATTGATTTTGTAATTTTGCTACTGTCAACTTCCGTACTTATGCAACAATTCATCCTCATCCCCTAAATGCGTGCTTTATAGATCTTGATTTGATCCGTAAAAGCATGATCTACATATAATTTTTTTTAAAAATCAAAATTACTTACTGACAAAGAAAAGAGAATAAGCAGTTTTGCTTAAAATAGGGATGTCAAAATGCAAAAGTATGTATTTTCTTTAGTCGATTATTTGATTACTTTGTTCAAAAGTAAATATTCGGGACATGTCCTAAAATTGTAGAGTGTCACTTATTCCTGACGTATTGATAACTCAGAAACCTTTTCAATTAATCTTTTGAATGAAATTCATGCATTAAGATAAGAAAAAAAATCAAGCTCAAAAGTCCATTAAACTATACAATTTTTATAAGTCGCAACATTGACCTATAAAACGTCAGAGGTGGGATCAGGTACATGTACCATGAAGGAGTTGGCATCTCCTGTTTATCGGTATTATGAAAAAATCTGCCTAAAATTCAGTTTGTAAATAATGACCAAACAATTATATTTCTGTGTGTGTTTTAGTCAGAAATTGACTTCATAGATTACATTAATTTGCTGACAAATTCATTGTCAACCATAGACCTTACGACTTTCACCGAGATTACTGCCTCATCACCTTCTTGTTACTAACTTACCTAGCTTTAACTGTTCATTTGTAGTGCATCCATTTGCTTATTGAATCAACCAAGAGCTGTTCATATTAACACCGTATGCAGGTGATGAGGGTCTATTGCTGTATAATTGAGGGAAGTCGACGATTGAAATGTGAACGTCATCACCTTTATGATAAAACTTGTTTGAATATCAAGAATATCAACCGAATATCAACCGTCTCGTTTAAAGTCATCATTTCGTAAGTTCTATGGTCGACACAATGAATTTGTAAGCAAATACAATTTATCATTAAGTCAAATGCTGACTGAGGTTTTTCATACCAATTGTTAGTCTAGTATTGACACACTGAATTTTCGACAGATTTTTTCGTTATTTCACGATCATGACAAGGAGCATAGGGCAGGTGTGAGCGATCGGCAGGGGACGCTCACTCCTCCATGGCACCTGATCCCATCTCTGATGTTTCGGGGGTCCATGTTTGCTCTGCTCTTATTTTGTATTGTTTTTTGAGATTAAATATTGTTCGTTATCTCCATATCCTCCATGGCTAGATCATTATTTACACATTAAATGGTCGAAGATTTTCTCCGTTCTTTTCAATCCATGACAAGGGGCACACGGTTTTATGACCGGTTTACAGGAAATGTTTACTCCTCTATTACACCTGATCCTACGTTTTATGTTTTAGAGACCCGTGTTTGTTCTGCTCCAAAAATCGAGTAGTTTAAACGATCTGATCTATTTGTTTTCACTATATATTTTATTGAAATGAAGTACCAATGAATTATACTTATGTTCAATTCAATTCCATATGTATTTACATGAAGTATAACTATTTTTTTATTCTTAATGTTTGTATAATCGTCAATTCTACGATATGGTAAACTTAATATCTATCTATATAATTATAATCTATTGAATACTGTTCGTCATCTCCATATCATTCTCTACATAATTTAAAAATATTTAAATGTTATTGAATGATTGATTGATTGTTTTTGACGTCCACAAGAAAAGTTTCTCTCATATGGATACCCCTATACTCTCGTTAGATTAAACCTATATCACTTTATTTTGAGATAGATTAAATTGCGCAGCACAGTTAAGGTTACAAATGGAAATATCGGCCATATTTTAAGATAAAAAATACATACTTAATTAGGATGGAGAATCTTTTTAGGAATTAACTGATATAAAAAAAAAACAATGTGGTTTAAATCTACATGTTGGGGACATTTAGATTTTTTAATTAGACTTGTCATGTGATGTCGACGTCACATGACTTTGGCAATTAAACTTGCAGTTTGGAGGTCATCTATAAATTTCAATATTGCAAGGGCATTACCAAGCTAAAAATCTAAGTTTATTTTATAAGCCTTTTCAACACTATATGTAGTTTGTGAAAAGTGCTGCGAACCTATGTACATTCCCTTTTTTAATTGCTAAAATTTAATTTGTTGGACGGCAGGTTGTATATTCTGCTGGTCAGCTATATTTAATATAGCTATTGTTAATTTTCAAGAGGTTCGCAGCACTTTTCAAATATCTTAATGTTTCTTGAGTTTATGTGTAAGAACTTGACAAGATACATTGAGGGTATGCCTTTGCAATAAATCGATTATTAGGGCCCTTCCATTAGTTTTTAAATGAATCTGCATACAAACACACGACATTATCACTTGTCTGGAGAATGTACGTACATTTTATAAATAAAATATTAAAATAAACATCGCATCCAAGTTAATGGCTTTTTATTTTACCGCAAATAATATTTTATTTGAGAACAAAAGACATTTTTCATTGTACAAAATGTGACTTGATCAGCCTCTGACTGTGTAAAAACTGCGTCATTTTTGCGAGATGACGTCACATTGACAAATGCATTGCGATCGATGCATCGTTGATATACTGTTGTGTGGGAATTAACAAACGACAAAACTGCATGTAATAGTAAGTTTGTATGTAGTATACAGCTATCCAGCTGTTTGAAATAGCAAATAATTTCATTTTGTGGTATTTGAAGACCTTATATTATGCGTGACGTCATAGTAAACATTTCCCGTACAAATTAGGCCCCGCCTCCTTACTGTAACCTTAACTGTGCTGCGTGCTTTATAATGCCATTATTTACACATTGCGTCGTCCACGGATTTTTTTCCGTTATTCGAGGATCATGAAAATGAACACACGGTTGGCGTGACCGGTCGACAGGAGACTCCTCCACGTACAGCACCTGATCCCACCTCTAATGTTTTGAGGTCCGTGTAAATGTTTGCTCCATTCCTATATGTCTATATTCTACTATTTAAACATTCAATCATACACTAAGTACATTTTGTACATATAAAAAACATTAAAAAGCATGTTTTACGAGCTCTAGAAGTGAATTTCAGCACAATCTTCAACACTTGATTTAATGTTATTTGTTTTCCACTACAGGTGATAAATTACCCTTAAAAACCTTTTTCTTTCCTTCCTTTTGGAAAATTTTGAAACACTCTCATCAAGTATGAAGTTGAGCTGAGTGAAGTCTTTCTTGCAGCTGAGACACGGGGGTTGTCTCAAAATTTTACATTAATGACTGATAATAATCAATTATTTAGCCTTGGTATAGTCCGTAGTCTGTAAACAATTGCTTTAAAACTTCAAACAGAACTATTTTTGACCTCGTTATCTCTGATTGACAACAAACCAACTGTCACTTATCATAGATAGTACTTAATGTGTGGGTATATCGTAATCTTCAGAAGGATGGTAAATGACCCCACTCCCAGACATTCAAAACAATTTCCTCATTTCTAAGCAAGCAAAAGACTGATATTGTTGATAAACATTGATGGACCCCACGGGGGAAACACTTTTAAACAATGCCCTAATTACTAAGCGTAAAGATGGGTCATTTAGTAAAAGTTTTGTTGACAAACATTGAAAGGTCTCTTTAGTGCAAAAGATTTGACTAGAATGTCCCCACTGACATGCACTTCGTTCGGAAAGATGAAAAATGTGGATTCACTTTTCATAGTAAGAGTGTAAAAACCGGTCATGACGAATTCCTTCGGAAAGAAGGTGGAATTTTTGTGACAGAGGACATGATGTGAGGACTTTAAAAACAACGGAAGTGACTCAATATTGCTGTTACTTGAAGTCATATTTCATCAAGAAAAATAAAGTCATCAAAATTATTCGGATATAATAATATCTTTCACGTATTTAACAAAATATCAGATATTCAACAAAAAGTTGGATATGTGCCAATTGCTGATATGTGCATTATCTGGTACCCTGTCCCTGTTATGCTTCATGTATTCCTCGAATGGATGAGTCAGGAAACCAGGCTAATATGCATGGTGAGGAATATACCTTGGCGTATTTGCTGTGCTAGTGCTAATATCCTTGCGCGCGCTTTATTTACATATTGATCAAATTTATTTTTTACAGCTCTATTTTTTTCTCATTTTTTATTTTTTCTAATTTTTTTAATTTTTTTTTATTTTCATTAGCTTTTTAGCAATAAAATTATTCCATATTAATTGCAGGTACATGGTTTGAGACACTGCACTCTTTTTTAGGTTACTTATTCTACCCATAAGAGGTTGTATCGATCTGCATGCCTAAACAAACATTACAAACGGAGGTGTGGTGTCAACTTAGCTCACTCAGAACCGAAAAGTAAGTACTGTAATTTACTATACAATTTAAGTAAATACAAAGTTATGTGGTTACTTCAAACATGATACGTGTATATTGTAAAACATATGGCGTGATTTTGCTTTAAATTATTTCTAACGTCCCACCTTTCACAAACACAGAAATTACAATATGTGCATTTCTTAAAAAAAATGTTAAAGGTGGTGTTGCTTTAAGGTAAATTAATGATTAAAAGGATTATTAACCAATATCACTAATCAAAAAATAAGTAAAATAATTATTGCAAAATATATATAAAGAAATGACTTCAAAAAATTAACAACAAGCAAGTCAAACACATATAAAACCTGAAATCTTTCACTTCAGGAAGTGAATATATAGGTCACCTATTACACATGTTACATGAGCTGTTTAAAATTTCGCATGTACACAATTGTCTGTTTCCTTCTTACCTAGTATACACAATTGTATGCATAATATATATTTTATCGCAATGTCTGTTTACAATGCTAAAATAAAAACCCAGCATGTTACCCGCTCCTTCACCAGGCGTAATTGTTTATAAATACAAAGTCTGTGAAAGATAATACCAGTAGCTACGCGATGGACCAGCCATGAAAAACTTCTAGCTACTTTGACAGAATAGATTAAATGTATCAGTTGCATGTTTAAATCAAGTATTCAACTATTGAGGGGCAAAATTAAAAAAAAAACACATCCACCTATATAGATCAGTGTTTAATATTTCAAATGTATAAAAGAAGAATAATATAGATAACACAATCAGTATCTACTGTACTACGCTGACAACGCAGGCAACGGCATTGTTTTTGTCCATTAGATCTTCACAACAACCAAACTGAATTTGAATTACTATACTAGTATCTAAATTGACAATCAAAGAAACTTCAAGTTTCAATAAATATTCTACCAAACACCTTTCTTTACTTCTTCCTTAAATGCTAACAGTAGTGAATGAGAAACTTCAGAATTGTGCAACAATATATTTGAGAGATTGTGAAATGAGAAATAGATACTTGAAAACTCCAAGAACTTTGGAAATCTTTTAAGTTAAAAAGAATAATAATATTTTCTTTTTAATCATCACATAATTTTATCAGCTTTTACACAATAATTCCAAACGCTGAATTACAGTCCAGGCTATTTGTCATCATTGACAGCTTTTTTTTAATAAAAGTGGAATTCGTAAATTACCCATGGCAACTTTCCATTGATACATTCCTGTTTCGTTTTTGGGGGAAAAACATTCTAGTTCTTTTAAAGTCATCATTCTATCAGTTTAAATTCATCATTTCTATGGTCAATACAATGACGTTTTTAGCAAATACAATATATCATTGAGTCAAATGCTTATTGAAATTCTCCATACTCACTCTTCCCACCTCTGATGTTTCAAAGATCCACATGAATGAACAAAGATTTTTGATTGATTTCATTAAAAAAATCCAACTAACAATAACATCTTTTAATAAGGAGGATATTCTTTAAAATATTTATAATATTCCCAAAAATTAAAATAATGAACAAGGTACTGTTTAAATACACATTTAGTGTGCTGTATTTTCGTAAAATATTGAATTGGTATAAGAACTTAAAATTCATTCTTTCTGAACTTAAAATTCTTTTTATCAGTTTACCTTTTAAATGAAGAATGTGGAGATAACGAACAGTATTCAATTTCAAAGGCCATAAAACAATACAAAATTGGAGCAGGGTAAAAACGGACATCTAGCCATGGAGGAGTGAGCACCCCCTGCGCACCCGCCGTGTGCTCCTTGTCATGATCGGGAAATAACGGGAAAATCTCTCGTCAATTCAGTGTGTGAATAACAAACTAACATTTAGTATGAAAATGCCAGTCAGCATTTGACTCAATAATAAATTGTATTTGCTGACAAGGTCATTTTATCGACCATACATGTATAACTTACGAAATCATGACTTTATAAGAGACTGCTGATACTCTTGTTTCATCAACTAGCTTGTCAATAATTTCCTTCGTTTTAGAAATGGTACATACATAGAACATAGAATATCGAATCAACTGTAATATATATACTCCGTATGCATGTGATGAAAGTATATTGCTGCATAAGTAAGGGAAGACGACGATAGAAAATTTAAAGTCATCACGTTTATCAAAGAGCTTGGTTGTAAGATTACCAATAACGTCTTTTTCAAATAAAATATTCATGAGATAGATGTTTAGACTCTGTGGTATCTTTTATCTCAAGCTCACCAGGATATATTGTATCGATGAAAATTACCATTGTTAATTGACAATACGTCGTCGATATGTAAAAATGTCGATTTGAAGGCAGCAGCATGTGTTTTCTTCTTTTCATGCGTACAATTTTGCACAAATCCTGCTTCATTTGAATATAAAAATAGGTCTGCTAATAACAGGGCGCAATTGCTAAATGCTAATTGTGACGTCATTAATTTGTGCATATTCCCGTATATTCTTAAAAACTTGCAGGAGACATCAATTTTAAATGGATTTTTTTTTCTGAAAACATACTCTGCATGCATATTAAACTTTTAGGGTACGAGAAAGCCCAAATTATACTTTATATCAGTTTGCACGAAAATAAATATTTCAGAAGAAAAGAACAAATTGCTACTTAAAAAAAGTATCTCGAATAAATACAGATTTAAATCTACGTGCTTTTATTTTGACAGGGAAGGTTATATACCACCAAAATCAAATGGAAGAAGATTTTCGTGTCAACCCTTTTGATAAAGATTCAGGTGATGGCGGTGGTCTTCATATGGAAAAGGTAAAATGAATTCTTTGTCATTGTTGAGGCTACTTTAAAGTGGCATCGACACAGTTTCCGGAAAAATTTCAAAATTTATTGTTTTCATTTTTAAGAATAGTTAAATAGGGTCTTTCTATAAAAAAAAATTGAATGTCAGTTGTCCAGATACAAGACAGATTTAAAGCTCCAAACATTTTTTAATGTAAACATATATAAGTATATCAACCTGTGTAAACAAAAGCAAGATAACTAGTCTTGTTTACTGGCTTTAACCCAATTTAAAGATGAACAACTACCTAGTTAAATTAACGTAAATTTACAACAACTGTGCGTTTAAAAAACATTTTGTCATTTTTCCTCCTCGCAATGTTCATTTGCGTTACTTGACTTTTCAACGTCTTAAACGGTTTTACGTCTTTTAAAGGAGTTCTTAAATAAGCTTAATTCAAAATGAAGGATAACGTAATAAGCAATTATGAAGACAGAAAAGAGTTCGGTTCACATTATGCATAAAATGGCCCTGCTGATATACCAATTGATTTATTAATACTTGATTTTTCATTTGAAGAATTCAAAAAAAAAAATAGAGACTTTGTGCTTTCATTTCCTATTAAAAATTTTCTCCTAAGAGTCCAGGTCGTGGAGAACTGGCTTTATGAACTTTCAATGGCTTTGAATTATCGGGTAAACAGGCATAATTGAGTACTTTCAATAAAAAAAATAATATCAGCGCACTCTCTGATGATAAAAATAAAACATGCCTTTTAATCCCCAGAAATAGTTCTATCATTTAGTAGTTGCACAATTTAGATCAGAGATTTCGCTCTATATACGGAAGCCCAGTAGTGCAAAACAAAAATAAATAAAAGAAAACGAAATTAGCAAATTAAGATAAAACGAAATTATTAAATAAAGAAAAACGAAATCAATATATAAAGAGAAACGAAATTATTAAATAAAGAAAAACCAAGTTAATATATAAAGAAAAACGAAATTATTAAATAAAGAGAAAATGAAATTAATATTTAAAAAAAAACGAAATTATTTAATAAAAAAAAATTATTAAATGAATAATTTCGTGTTTTGAGTTGGCTCGCATAGCTGGCTCGCATAGCGAGCTATTCCTCGTTGACACAGCCGTTTTAGAGCTGTAAAATTTATCACGCATTCATCAGGGTGATCCATACGCCAAAAATGATAGTTCTAGCAAAAAATACTTTTGTTTGAGTGAATGTTTAAACGAAAGAGGTAAAAACTATATAAACTTAAGAGGTAAAAACTGTATATAATTTCATATTAGGAATCTTTAAACTCCATAACACTGACCACTATGGCTAGTGTGCTTAAATTTATTATAGAATCCAGGTTTGCAGTGCTGCTTTTCACAATAATATGTACGGAAAGCCGTTACTGCCAACCTATATATATATAAAGGAAAAGCAATATACACTTTATTTTTTAACCGAACATGGAGACATACATGTTATGATATTCAATCTTTTAAGATGCAAAATAAACTGAACATAAGTTATGGTGTCAAGATGTATGAAAAAGCTCAGTTAACTCCAGCGAGTCAACTCGCAGGCCCTTCAGGTCTTTGATCTTTATTTAATAATTTCGTTTTCTACTTTAACGATTTCGTTTTTCTTTATATATTAATTTCGTTTTTCAAATAGAAAGCTGAAACTAAAATACGGAATTTACAGATGCACATAGTAAGGGCCTGAACCCATACATCATTAACGCACGGGTCTGTTAGACCCGATTTTGTTTCGACAATAAACAAGTGTGATGCTTTCCCTTGATCTCAATATCTCCAATACCGAATACATAACCATAACAATACATGAATGGAGGAGAATTTAACCTTTGGTAACTTATAGTGATATGCTTATATTTATGTTTTTATATTGAATTACCATGATTAATGCGAATTTTAACGAGTCTGATAATTTGACCTGTAATTCGGTGAGATGTTGACGTTAACTATTGGTTAACATTAGCTTTCTTAAGCCCTTGCTCGAAAGGTCTAATGATTAGCAAATTATGAATCTAGACACGCAAATAATGACTTTGGACATGAAACATAAAAGAGATTATCCTAATAAATTACACATATATTTAAGATAAACATGAAGGTTAAGATTCCGTTGATTACAAAATGTACTGTTGAATTTTTAACATTTAGGAAATCCCCATGGCTTTACAGTACGTGCATTAGAAAATGCCGTAAAATAATACGTTACCGATCGGACTTTGTGGGATTGTTTGACATTGTTAAAACACGTTTCAAGAGAACAAGTGCAAAAATCAAACTAGATGCTGTCATGAGACAGTAATACCCGCACTAAGGTGTTTGCCTCTTAATGCACACTCCTCTAAAATTAGGCTTTACCAAAGAAAAAGTCAATATAATCTAATAATTTACATAATAGGGCCTCCATGTATTCATCAAATTGAGCATAATATTCTCAAGTGAACATGTGACCCATGGGCCTCGATCTTATAGGTACATGTATTTCATATTCATAATTCATTACAAGTCTGAAATTAAACAACAGAATTCAATTAATGATGTAAATTAGGTTTGAAACAAGGGGGGGGGGTTAAATTTTTGGCGCATAATTGGAACTTTTTAAATCTATTTTCTCATATACATGTAGATCAACAACAAATATTATTCAAATTAGTTTAAAGCGTTTTTGATGATTTTTTCCAAAATGTACAAACTTTTTTATACTTGATTAGGCAGAAACACCTTGAAAGCTGCCATATACCATGTATACCCAATCAATTTAGTCAACCCCCACCCTTCTCCCATCAACACACACACACGCAAACACACCCTATTTTCCTGTTTTTGGAAATAGGCCTAGATGGCAAAGTTAAGATAAAACATCTTTTGTAAATAATAATTTTAAATTTGTTCTTATACTGTAAATGTATCTGAAGACCTGCATCACATTAGGCTTGCGTCACGTACCAAACTTAAGTACTAGTTTTACCATTATCATTTTTAGAGAACACTGCACGTGCAGTACTAGGCCTAGTGTTGTGTACACATCATTGCATGTATGTCAGTTGGAATTATTTTGTGTTTAATTGGATTATATTTCATGAAGTTGGAGCTATGGCAGTCGGTAAGTACACGTTTTGGTATAGATTTGGGTAAAATAGTCTGAAATGCAACTGGTTAGGTTAAAGTTTAAAGGATCAAAGGTCATCCGATGCTGCAATACGAATTTCACATTCTAAAGAGTTATCGCCCGTTATCGACGTTACATTCAGTTACAAAATACAGAATTTTTTTCTGAGAGGGAGGGGGGACTTCCAGACCAGAATTTCCTGAGAAGCAAATAAAAGGAGAAGTTAGGGTGGTGTCTGTTTTCTAGGGTGGAGGGCATCCAAAGTCTTTTTTATATTATAGTCCTGCAAATTGGGGGGGGGGGGGGGGTCTCAAGATACACTTCCAGTCCCTGTAAACAGTAATGGCAAATGATCATGTGACTCCTAAATAGTGGGAAACTTTTTCCATTTGACCATACATAATTTTGCGCTTTTTGTGTTATTATGTTATGTAAATTTAATGGTATAAAGGTTTTGAACCCCCTGGAGGTCATCCCCACTCTCCTAATGATTCTAACTGGAAATGTTCACAATATGACTGCATTAAATGAAATAAAAGTGCATCAATGATAAGATTGCTTGACATTTCATTCACTACCTATCCTCCTAGAATTAGGAATGAAAATCATTCAAAGAGATGGACCATATTAAAGTATTTGTATATAGGCTATTAACATATTTTTTTAAAAATGTAAAACAAGCAGTAGTTTGCATACATGTCATGAATATAAACAGGGGTCTGGGATGGGGTGAGGGGAAGGATCGAGTTCCTGTCTCTTTACGTCTTAATGGTTGAAAACTCCTAAAATGAATGTTGACCTCAAATCCGACTTGTCCTCCTTATTTTTCAAGTGGGGATGTCTCCATTTGAGTGAAAAATTCCTGAGAGGGATGTTTAACAACAAACAAACAATTAAATGACATAAAAACACAATATTGATTTGCGTTAAGAAATATGCAGGGGATTTTTTCCATCATAAATCTTCTTCTCAAGAACAGCAAGGGCATTATTGTCCCCCGTTTTGGGGGAAAGGGAGGGAACATTAAATCTTATTTGTCTGTCAGTCTGGCCATCTTTGACAGTATGTGCATCTGTCACAATAAATTTAACCTTGATCATAACTTTTGAATAATATGAGATAGGGCTTTCATATTTCACATGTACATTACCACAAAACTTTCTAAATGTACTATGATTTTTTAACCCAAGTGAGACCTTGACCTCAAAATTTTACCTACTTTCCAAAAAATAACATTTTAAATTAATCATTTTGAAAGAGAAAAGATATGGCATTTAAATTATACATGTATATTACATGTGAAAAGACTTTTCTAAATATATCATGACTTTTGACTTTCTGATCTTGACCTAGAAGTTTAACCTACTTTTCAAAAATATTATATTATATATTTATATATATATATATATATATATAACTTTTGATTGAAAAGAGATGGGTCTTTCATATTTGACATGTACTTTACCTGCAACAAAATATTTCGAGCATGCGATGATTTCCCCCCTTTGACCTAATTTTCATAAAGTGACATATGATAGGGATGCATATTTGATACACAATCTGCCATAAATTATGGCATCCCATTCACTTAAACACAGAAAGCAAAGGACCACAATTCTTTGAATTTGCATGTATAATCTTGATATGGAAACATCCTCATATAATGTATATTCAAGTTTTTTATGCTACGCCATGATTAGGAATACATGTATTAGTTTTTGTCATGTCCGTCCTCCACCCTTCCATCTGTCTTTCCATCGAGCTCAAAGAAATTACTTTCTAGATATTTTATCAAAGTTCATATGCTGATGCATATACTGATGTAAACTATCCAACTGTGGCAATATTTTTTATGCGCCCGGATCGATAGGTCCCGGGCATATATTGTTTTTGTCCTGTCTGTTTGTCTGTTTATCTGTTTGTCTGTTGTCAGCTTTAACCTTGGCCATAACTTTTGAACAATAAGATATAGAGACTTCATATTTGGTATACATACTCCACTATTAAAGTCCTTTCAAATGACATCAAGATCAATGACCTTGTGACCTTGGCCGTGACCTAGATGCTAAAAATAGCTTTTTACACTTTTTGCCATAACTTTTTAACCATAGGAGATAGGAACTTCATATTTAGGATGCATACTGCACTGATTAAATTCTTTCAAATGACACCATGGTCAATGACCTTGACTGTGACCTATATGCTAAAAATAGCTTTTTACACTTTTGGCCATAACTTTTAAACCATAGTAGATAGGGACTTCATATTTGGGATGCATACTCCACTGATTAAGTTCTTTCAAATGACACCACGGTCAGTGACCTTGTGACCTTGACTGTGACCAATATGCTAAAAATAGATTTTTTGAACTTTGTTTCCGCCGGGCGCATAGTGTTTCACAAACACATCTTGTTTACCTTTACTTTCCTTTGACCTTTACCTGTTTACTTAACTTTTCTTAAAACCTAAGTGTTTAGCTTTATTTTAGAGAAACCATAATGATTCAAGTTGTGTAATGAAACTTCACATGATGATACATACTGATGTAAGCAATTAAAGCTTTACAATGCTTCACTCTTTTTTACCTTGACATTTCCTGTGATCTTGACCTCATGATCACTGTCTTAGACTAGATCAGTTTTGAATAAAATAAACAGTTCAAGATATATTAATCAAACTTCATATGCTAATACATACTGATGAGAGCTATTATTGCATTAACTTATTTTGACCTTGAATTTTCTTTTGACCTTGACCTCACTTTTTAAAATATGTGTTTATCTAAGTTTCAAATAAACCATTAATTATATTTTTATCAAAATTCATATGATAATAGTAAATTCACACTGATGTAAGCTTTTCAGCTAGAACAACATTTTGACCACAACCTTTCCTTTGACTTCTCTTTTCTTAAAACAAAGTGTTAAGCTCAGTTTCATTAAATCATTCAAGATATTTTTATCAAACATAATAAGCTAATATGTATTAGTGAGAGCTATTCAGCTGCATCAAAAACTTCATCTTGCACATTCCTGTGACCTTGACCTCCCTCCTCTTTAATATGTATTTTGCTTAGTTTTTAAGAAATAATTTAAGACATTTTTATGTTTAACATGCACTTATACATAATTTGATGAGAATTTATTATCTATATCCAATTTATTTATATTTTAGTTTCAATTCTGAAAAAAAACTGTTGAAGATATTTTCATCAAACTTTATACACAAATACAAATTTTAGTTTTTAGTTTTTAGCTCACCTGAGCCGAAGGCTCAAGTGAGCTTTTCTGATCATATTTTGTCTGGCGTCCGTCTGTCTGTCTAGCTGTGTGTAAACTTTTCACATTTTTTGACTTCTTCTCAAGAACCACTGGGCCATTTCAAGCAAACTTGCCACAAAGCATCCTTGGGTGAAGGGGATTCAAGTTTTTTTCAAATGAAGGGCCATGCCCTCATTCAAGGGGAGATAATTGGGAATTAATGAAAATTTGGTGGCATGTTTTAAAAATCTTCTTCTCAAGAAACAACTGTGCCAGGAAAGATGAAACTTATGGGTTAACATCCTCAGGTAGTGAATATTCAAATGTGTTCAAATCATGACCCCCGGGGGTAGGGCAGGGCCAAAATGGCCGACCAAAGTTTTATATAGAAATATATTGGAAAATTCTTTAAAAATCTTCTTCTCAAGAAACACTGTGCCAGGAAAGATGAAACTTATGTAGTAACATCCTCAGATAGTGTAGATTCAAGTTTGTTCAAATCATGACCCCCGGGGGTAGGGCAGGGCCAAAATGGCTGACCAAAGTTTTACATAGAAATATATAGGAGAATTCTTTAAAAATCTTCTTCTCAAGAATGACAAAGCCATAATTCATCAAATTTATATGGAAGCATCCTCAGGTAGTGAAGATTCAAGTTTGTTCAAATCATGACCCTGGGGGTAGGGCGGGGCGAAAAAGGCCGACCAAAGTTTTACATAGAAATTTATGGGAAAATTCTTTAAAAATCTTCTTCTCAAGAATGACAAATCCATAATTCATCATATTTATATGGAAGCATCTTCAGGTAGTGTAGATTCAAATTTGTACAAATCATTTTAGGAATAAAAGGAAACACATCTTTAAAGTTCTTCTTTTCAGGAACACGAAGAGCATGATTAATATGGAAATATTCTCAAGAGGTGTAGATTCAAGTTTGTACAAATCATGACCACCAGGGTTAGGGAGGTGCCATATTTTTCCGGCCCCTTTTTGCCATCCATATGAAAATTCAAATTTTGAAACCATTTTACACATACACAAAACAAACCAATCATTTTCTAAATGATTATGGTTTAAAGCTATTGCAGCATAAGATATTAGGGAAGTTCTTGAAAGCAGGGTGATTAAACATGTCAAATATATGTAAAAAAAAATATATATAGAAATTCTACCTCGATTTGATCCCCATCCCCCCCACCCCCCCGGGCAAAATGAAAATTCCGAAACCTTACTGCACATCTACATGACATTACCAACCATCTCTTAAAAGATGATAAGGCTGCTGAGTAAAATGTAGAAGGAGTTCAGGGAAGAAGGGGCTTTTTGTATAAAAAAACGTCATTTTTCGACCCCCATTTGATCCCCTGGGGCAAAATCAAAATTCCAAAACCTTACTGCACATCTACATGACACCACCAACCATCTCTCAAAAGATGATTAGGCTGCTGAGTAAAATATAGAAGGAGTTCAGGGAAGAAGGGGCTTTTTGTATGAAAAACGTCATTTTTCGACCCCCATTTGATCCCCCGGGGCAAAATCAAAATTCCGAAACCTTACTGCACATCTACATGACACCACCAACCATCTCTCAAAAGATGATTAGGCTGTTGTGTAAAATGTAGAAGGAGTTCAGGGAAGAAGGGGCTTTTTGTATAAAAAACATCATTTTTCGACCCCCATTTGATCCTCTGGGGCAAAATCAAAATTCCGAAACCTTACTGCACATCTACATGACACCACCAACCATCTCTCAAAAGAGGATTAGGCTGCTGAGTAAAATGTAGAAGGAGTACAGGGAAGAAGGGGCTTTTTGTATAAAAAACGTCATTTTTCGACCCCCATTTGATCCCCCGGGGCAAAATCAAAATTCCGAAACCTTACTGCACATCTACATGACACCACCAACCATCTCTCAAAAGATGATTAGGCTGCTGAGTAAAATGTAGAAGGAGTTCAGGGAAGAAGGGGCTTTTTGTATAAAAAACGTCATTTTTCGACCCCCATTTGATCCCCCGGGGCAAAATCAAAATTCCGAAACCTTACTGCACATCTACATGACACCCCCAACCATCTCACAAAGGATGATTAAGCTACTGTGAAAAATGTAGGAGGAGTTCAGGGAAGAAGGGGCTTTTTGTATAAAAAACGTCATTTTTCGACCTCCATTTGATCCCCCGGGGCAAAATCAAAATTCCGAAACCTTACTGCACATCTACATGACACCCCCAACCATCTCCCAAAGGATGATTAAGCTACTGTGAAAAATGTAGGAGGAGTTCAGGGAAGAAAAGTGTGACAGACGGACGGACGGACGGACGGACGGACGGACGGACGGACGGACATGAGTAACAACAATATACCCGAACTTTCTTTCGAAAGTGCGGGTATAAAAAAGAAAGTGGTTACAATAAGTAGCTTTTAATGTTTTAATGATAATGCATACTATATTAATCTATACTATTTATAAGTCAGTGGTACTGCATGGCTACTATAGTACTTGATTTCACATATTCTAAATGACAAAAGTTCAATCTGTATTTATAAGTCGGTGATATTTATGAAGATACAATGCGCACACTTGCACAAAACAAATCCAACAAAGTAATCAATTGCAAATCATTTTTCTCTTATGGGTATACAGATAGGACGCTGGGATAAGTTCGGAGGAATTCAGTAATACGATACTCAAGGTCATGAGCTCATCGCGATTCATGAACTTTTTTGGAATGTCATTAATGTTAAGCAAACAGAAACAGCCATCCTCGCTAAGTCCAGGCTTACAGACTCCAACAATTATGTCGGGATATGACAAAGCAACAAAGTCCCATCAAAAAAATTGAAAAGATTATGAATTGTTTTACGGAAATAGGAATTTTAGGTTGTGTGCACATATTTTTTCTACGTTTGTTAGTTTGATACTTATATCTTCTTTAATCTTGCATTTCCACCACACATTTGTAATGTTGGTATAAGGCGTAAAGAGTTACGAGGAGATGTTCTGTAACACGTGCGCTTTATGGAATGATTCATGGGTTCAGGCCCTTACCATGCACATCTATGAATTTCGTATTTTAGTTTCAGATTTCTGAAAAACGAAATTAATATATAAAGAAAAACGAAAATATTAAAGATAAAAAGAAATGATTTATATAATTATTTCGTTTTTCTTTATTTAATAATTTCTTTTTCTCTTTATTTCATAATTTCGTTTTTCTTTATACATTGATTTCGTTTCTCTTTATACATGAATTTCGTTTTCCTCTCTTTAATAATTTTGTATCTATGCTGGTCTGTAATAAAAGAACAGGTGGTTTGAATCCCTGGTTTGATATAGTTTAACTTAATATATATGGTTTAAAAACTATCTCTTTACACAAATTGGAAATGTCATTGTTATAGGTACAAACTGAAGAAACTTATCCTGCAAGACATTGTCAACTTTGTCACTATATAGGGGAATCGGTAAATGCATCACTGGTTTGTAAAGAAGAACAGATATATCTCTGTAATTCCTGTGGAAAGCGTCATCAATTTCAAAGGTCAACCAAATCACATACTGTCACTGACATCGAAGAGAATACAATGTTAAATTGCGAAATTTGTGAAAGTCTTAATAAAAAGGTACCAGCCTACGGGTTCTGCGAAACATGCGAAGATCCAGAATATATGTGCCAACCTTGCTCAAAAAGACATACGGCATCTAAGATATTTAAAAGCCATTCTATCTGCACCAACCTAGATAAACTGTACACAAAATTTGCCCAGGTAAATCTTCTTCATTTTTTAAATTATTTTTAAACTCCATGGAACCTGTTTCAACGTGTGTTTAGATATCTTTTTGTCAGTACTCAAAATACGTACTTTTTAAAAAGGATTTCGGGGTCGATAATTCACTCCGACTGTTGAATACCGCAGATTACATTCGATTTTTTTATTCATATGCTTTACGATAGTTTTTGTATATTTAAAAGGAATTGTTTTTTTCCTAATTCAAACAACATATTTTATATATTGATGGTAACATCTGTGTTTTTCAGGCACATCCTTATGTAATATCTTGAAAATGAAATGAACAATCTTTTGATGCATCGGATAATAGACATTAAGGAAAGAGGACATTTCACATTGTAACAATGTTTTTATTTGTTTTCAGGTTACAACAAATGGCATAGATACAAATGCAAAAACATTTAACTGTAGCCTTTGCAATGATACAGGAGAATATCGAACTGCATCCTGCTTCTGTACTTCTTGTAAGATAGCTGAACCATTGTGTGATGTATGCGGCAGACATCACATTAGACAGAAAATTTTCCGTGACCATTCACTGTCTACTGATATGGAAGCTTTTGTTTCTATTTCAAAAAACAATACCATTAACTGCGAGTTGTGTCTTCGTGATGGCGAGCACAAGTCTGCTAGTTCGTTCTGTTTGACTTGCGAAGAAATAGAAGCACTTTGCGAAGATTGTGCGGCTCAACATATTAAACAAAGAGCATTCAGAAATCACCAGATCAGCAATGATATAGCAAAGTTACTTCAAAAGGAGAAACTCTTGTGCGAGCCCTGTGCTTCTGAAGGAGGTAAAACTCCAGCCGATTCCTTTTGTAAAGACTGCGATGAACCGGAACCTTTGTGCTTGAATTGCTCACGTGAACACGTCAAACAACGGCTATTTAGAGACCATTCAATTTGTGACGATATAAGTCAACTTCCAGTGAAGTCAAATGAGAATATTGGTGCATTATGCAGTATATGTAAGGAAAAATGCACAGATTCCAAAGCTAGTTGCTTCTGTAATGATTGCGATGACCAAGAACCTTTGTGCCCAGAATGTGCCCGACAGCATTTGAAGATTTTCCGAGGACATAAGCTCTGTAATGATTTATCACTTTTAAGAAAATTTTTGAAAGAAGTTTTTTGCGAAATTTGCAAGATAGATAGAAAGGACGTACCAGCTGATGCATATTGCACAGATTGTTCAGATCTCCTGCCATTGTGTAATGATTGTGCTGGTCATCACATCAAACAAAAGCAATTCCGAAATCATAAAATTAACACAGATGTTTCTGTCTTGATTAAATTTCAAAAACAAAATTATGCAGCATGCGATATCTGTAAGATCGATGGAAAAGATACAAAAGCTTCAAAGTATTGCATTGATTGTGATGAGCACCTGTGTACAAAATGCGTAGAAACACATCTGAAATTCAGCCCTAACCATGAAATCACTCATTATTTTGGAAACAGCTTTTTGTGTGAACCTTGCAAAAGGGAAAATAAAAGTGTATCAGCGGATTCCGTTTGTGAAAATTGCGAGGAATCCATGTGCAAAACATGTTCAGAACAGCATCTCAAACAAAAACCATTTAGAGGCCATGTTATTTCCTCGTGTATGATGAAAAATTTCAGACACAAATCGAAAAGAGAAAATGTTGAAGATAATCCTTCACAAACGTTTGTGTTTTGTTTTATTTATTTATCTTCTTAATTAATTGACTGCATTTAAAGTATAATTTTCTTTTTTGCAAAAAAAATAATAATTCATAATATCGATAAAAAGAATCATTATATAAAAAAAGGAAGAATCCTGTTTCGTCATTTTGATGACTGATTTTATATTTAACACAGACTGGATAACAGAGACGTTCCAGAGAAAAGCAAAGACAAAGAACCTGTCGAAACAAAGAAAAGGGTATATACAAGTTGTTTTCTTACGACCAGTTTTTATTTTGTGATATTAAAAAAAAATTAATTAAAGATTGAATTTAATAGGTACACAATTTATAAATTAGGCTGCCATTTATGCATAGTTAATCTTGAGGCTATTAAGCTAGCTTATTAATCTTAAGGGGGAAAGCTGACTGCCCTTAAAATAGATTAAATTGTACAAAATATAAATGTAATGACATTCGGATCGAGACGTTTTTGATTGAATCATTGTGATTTGCCAACCCAAATTTTACGATATAATGTAACACTTCATCCAATGAAAGACAGTGTTACAACCAGAATGAAAACATTTATTCTGAATTAAAAATTCGGGGTCAATTGCAAACTCAAATAATTCATTTCATTCTAGATACGGGGTAAACCAAGTGTATTAAGTATGAAGTCTGATTCCGTGGAGCTGTGTTGGGAAACATTGGAGGAGGAAATAGATCATTATCAAATCAGATATAAAAGCCAAAAGGATGATGATAATTGGAAGTTTTGCAATACAAATAACACAACGAATAAATTCACTGTAAGTGGACTCACAGCTGATACCCAATACGTATTCCAAGTCCGTAGTGTTGCCAATGACGTGGAAGGAGATTACAGTGAACAAAGCGATCCCATCAATACACCCAAATCCTTAGCAACAAAAATGCTTAGTTTCTCTATCAAAATTCCAAGTACGAATCCCGTATTATACCAATTAGCAGCCGAAGAAAATAGAGAAGCCTGCAATATCAATACAAAGACTATGCAGTTAGCTCTAGGTAAATTCAAAATCATCGCATCTTATAAGAACAAAATACTGCAATTATTATTTTTCATTTTATGGTACTGAAAACAAAATTTTATTCATTAGGAAACCCTCAAATTGGAAATAAATGTGAAAAAACAATTATGCTTGTTGGTGCGACAGGTTCGGGAAAAAGCACGCTTGTGGACGGTATCATCAACTATATTTTGGGCGTCAGTTTTGAGGACCCTTTTAGATTCACGCTGGTAAACAAGGAGCATGACGAAAAGAAGACACAAAATCATGTAGATATTTTTACTTATTATTATGTAAGAGGTGGGGTTATTCGAAAAAAAAATTGTATCTGAGTGTAAATAATTATAAGGACACTATTTTAAGTAGCTGGGAACTTTTTTTATTTCATCTACGTGTAATTTAATACTTTGTAATTTACTAAGAAACTTGATATTTACGCACAATCTATATGTCTGTATTTTGTAAGTCTCATTAATACTGATGGCTAAAACAAACAAGCATTAAACTCTATTGTACCAGTATTGACTTTAAAATATCGTATAACGGGTAATTTTACTGCTGTAAATTTTAACGAATTTCGGTTGAAATAGGGTAATTTAATTTTTTGTGCATTAATTCAGATTTACTTGATTGATCCTAATTGATAATCATTTGAAAAGTTCCAATTATACTTTCGGTTGTTTGTCCTAATTCTAATTATATAGCCTTCAGGTACTTATAGCTAAATGGCAGTAATAGCACTGAAATACTCTCATAATACGATGTTGAAATTTTAGGTGAGGCGATTTTACTTCTGTGAAATTTTATTCTTTTAAATTTTACGGATTTATAAAACTCGTTAAAGTAATAAAAACTAGCAGCACTTAAAAAATGTAATAGATAGTTATACGGTAACTCCTTGTGATATATCCTCTATTCAAGTGTAATGCTAATCAAGAATTCTTTACAAAAACATCAGAAGAACCAACAAATGCTAAAGGACAATTATAAACAAATAAACTTTAAATATTGCACTAAAAGAAAGTATATATAAGATAATTATTATTTTCACGTAGGCAGAGCCTCAAAAAGAGTGGATCACCGTATACAAGATCCATCCACAAGAAGGAAGTCGACTGGACTACACTCTCAACGTTGTAGACACCCCAGGGTTTGGAGATACCCGAGGAGTCGAGAGAGACAAAGCTATTATTGATCAAATAAGACTTTTCTTTACAGCTGGAAGCACACAAGGCATAGCATTCATAGATGCTGTTTGTTTAATTGCCAAAGCCCCTGAGGCACGTCTAACAGTTAACCAGTCATATATTTTTCATTCGATAATGTCAATGTTTGGAAAAGATATTCAGTCGAATACTTGTACACTGATAACTTTTGCTGACGGAAAAGAGCCTCCTGTTCTCTCCTGTCTAAAAGCAGCCGATCTTCCCTTTGGATTCTGGTTTCCTTTTAATAATTCTGCTTTATTTGCAAGCAATAAGAATTTACCGAAGTCTTCTCTATCTGCTTTGTTTTGGGAAATGGGTTGTAAAAGTTTACAAATTTTTTTTGAAAAAATTAAATCATTTGAAAAAAAGAGCCTTATGCAAACCAAAAACGTACTAAAACAAAGGGAGCACCTGCTGTCGGTTTTAACAAATATTAAACCCCAGGTCAATGCGGGTCTACTTAAACTTAATGAATTACAAAATACATTATGGCTTTTCAAAAAGCATCAAAATGATATGGAAAGTAACAAGGATTTTACATATGAAGCAGAAATAACGAAACAGGTAAGACTTGAATTACCTGTCGGCCAATACGTTATGCATTGTCTGAATTGTAACATATGTTGTCATGACAACTGTCCATTTGGTGATGACCAAAAGAGTCGTTGCTCGGAACTGGATTCTACAGGTAATTGTCAGGTTTGCAGTAGTAAGTGTCACTGGAGCCAGCACAAAAACTCTAAGTATATCTTTAAATATGTCACAGAGAAAAAAACAGAAACTTACCAAGAAAAGAAAAAACTTTATGAAAAAGCAAAAGGAGAAAAAATGAAAAGTGAAAAATATTTGAAGGAAATTGAAGCTGATATAGATTGTCTTTTTGACACAATTAACAAAATGATGGACGATATGGCGACGTGTAAAAATGGGTTGAAAGAAATTGCTTTAAGACCTGACCCTCTCTCAACCGTTGAACACATTGACCAGATGATACAAACTGAGGAAATCAATAAGAAAATGGGCTATGAACGAAGAATAAAGATGCTTAATAAATTCAAGCAATTAGCCCAAACTGATCAAACAGTTGAAAGCTTGAGACAAACTTTCCTTAAAGTTAAAGATGATATATTCAAAACAACTGGTAACAAGGCTCGAAAGGGAGTTTTGCTTTCTGGATTTGATAGATTTAAATCTGCGTTTAACATGTAATTTATACATCATAAAAAGACATGTAATTAATTTTATAAACAGGTACTTAAGCAAAGCATACATAGGTACTTTGTAGTAATTTTATCTTTCCATTAACATCCACTTTCTCCTTAATTTGTCTAACTTGAAAACACTGTTTGAAAATTGTTTAAAGAATACCATTTTTTACAAATCAATATTGACGGTTTGGTAATATGTTGATAATGATTTTTGAAAGTTCCTTTTTTTAGGATTCACGGTACATGTAGCTCAGTCGGTAGAGGGCTTGCTCCGTGATAAAGAGGTTGTGGCTGCGACTGACTTAAGTTGGTAAAATGATTAGAGACTTTCCTTCCCCCCCCCCCCCCCCCCATGTAATCGGCACTTGAAGTGAATTGTTTCGGTTGTTCGGAAAGACCTTAAAAACAGAGTTTCTGTTTCACCTCAATCGTTGGCACGATAAAGAACCCGCACTGTTCAATGTGCCTCAGTGCTTAGTAAAGGATAAAATCTTTAGGTCTTTATCCGATATATAGTGACGTCTTTATTTAATTACTTGAGTGAAATAATTCTTGAATTAGATATAAAACGATATAAAATCAATCAATCATTCAATCTTTTTTCAGGAACAGTTATTTTATGAAAGCATCACCAGATAGCTTCCACACATTGCCCTGTTATCTAGTATAGGAGTAACATGGGGGATTTATTTTATTTTCTAGAAATACGCTTTGAAAATCTTTAAAATTAAACATTGAGCTCAATAACAGAAAAGTCATGATACTCGCTTGATCACAGGAAAATGTTATATTGATCTCGTGTTTAGAACTTTTGTAACTTTTTTGAGATTTTAACTTACATTTGAGTTAAATATGATTGACTTATGCAAGATTACCATCATTCGTGTCTTTTTGTACCATTTTATGTTTTCACTACACAATGAAAACAACGTTATTGGTTTTTTTCTTGTTATGAAAATCAAATTTATGAAGATATCTTCAGCTGTATTATCCAATAAAAATTCATTTTCAATTTGTGTATCTGTATATATGCATGCATTGAATTTTCTTTTTAATTGACTACGTGGAAACAGTCTAACTAACAGGATTATTATTGTGTGAATCACTGTCATTCACTTATTCCTCATTTAAATCATTACATAATTCTATGTGACTAAATACAAAGGAATCAGTATGTAACTTGAAACCAAAAAAACGCAAATTGAATTTTATATTTCCTGTAATTTCTAGTGGTGTGTGCTTAAAAAATGGAAAGAAATAATATGTTCACAACTCAAATAATAATCTGTTATCTGTACGTATTAACGAAATTAGAACTGTAAACAATATTCAATAAATTTTTACAATAGACGCCAAATCATATACATATACATATAACTAGAATTATATTTCTTTATTAATGTAAGTGAAAGGATAAACAATGTATTATTTTCTCCATCAAGCACAATCAGTCTTATTACAGTTGTGCATTATGTTGTTTAATTATGTACCTATATGTATTCATTATATATTGCATTAGTATGCATAATGTCATATCCTTCATACATACTTTTAACCCGTGGTGTCCGAATTACAAAATATTGTTTATTTGTTTATCCATCATATATTCACATCTTTTAAGCCCCCTCCCACCCCCACCCCCATTTGTGTTAAAGAAGCATATTAATCTTCAAAAACGAGCTTGAAATTACATTATATATGGTATTGCTTTTTACAGTTGTTTTAATCTGCTAAAAAAAACTCATCGAGTTTTGAGGATACAAACAATATATATTTTTTTTGTTATAATAACAACTAAAGTAACCACATGCCAAAACACTACCCACTTAAAACATAATTGGCAACAGAACTAAACAGATATGAATGAGCAAAACTACCATTCTATTTATCAATATCAATAAAAGCATAAGAAGAAAGGTATTATTGAAAGCAGATTTCAGTCGCCAAAAGCAACTTTCTCAAAAGACTTTGGTGATTATATCGCACCGGACAAATAAATCTATGTCATAAAAACTCAAAACGGATCTTTCATACACAAACGTGTTTTCGATCACTTTCTTACAAAATTTTAAAGATTTGATGGGTTTTTCCTTCACTTGAAAAAATGACACCTTTTCTTTCATTTAAACCATGATGAAGCATCACTTGGTTAAAACTTATAGTGGCACTTTTTCTGAGAACAAACATTTACAATGCTAAAAAATAATGTTTTTTCCCCTATAACTGTCAAAACCAGTACGTGGAGTGAAATACACTGGACAAAATTTCTAACGCACCACCAAATTAAAGTAATATTTTACTTATCAAAACTTGTTTATGATGTATTTGAATTATTATTATAATACATAATCAAAATCAAAAAAACATAGCATTTAAATGTCTTAATTGATAAATAACTAAAATGTTACCTGAAGCGTGACCATTTCATAGAAAACGTGAAAAATGTTATCCATACTAATTTGGAGGGATAAATTTCCAATTTTTTCTTTGCATTTTTTATCTTTATGTTTGTCCGTGTTTGCTCTGCTCTTATTTTGTATATTTGTTTAATGGACGTTGGAATTGAATACTGTTCGTTATTTCCATATCCTTCTTTGTACTAATTATAAAATCAGAAAAAAATATACTGTATGCGGCATTTAATCACATAAGAGCGTGATAAAACAGACAGTATGGTGTCTGAAGGGGGTTCTTTTGGAAACTTTTGGAAAAAAATAAACTATGAAATTAATATTTATTCTTCAAGTGAAAGAATGTTTCAAATAGATTAGTTAATATAAAAATGTTCACTCTGGATAGCCAATCCATCAAATAAACACCACACCTCTGACATTTTCAATGTCGTTTCACAAAATGGGGCAACCGGAAGTTGAGTGGACTGGGTATGGGCATCAATACATTGGATGTATAGCGGGCGATATAATAGTCAATCGCTGCATATTACGAGGGTCGTTCAATAAATAATGCAACATGTCATCTAAAAGTAAGAAAAAGTACGTAATACATATTCTTAATAGTTTCAATCCCTAAAGGCATTCCATGTTATTAGTTTCATGTGTCTCGAGTCTTTGAATCCATGAACAGAAATTCCCAGCATACTTATCTTTAGGGATACCCCAATGGCACTAAGAAATATCATTTCCCATGGCATATCTTACATTGTAAAATCTTCCTTTGATTGTTTTCATGTGTTTTGGGGACAAAAAGGTCTCACGGTGGCTACGATTGAACTAATATGGGTCATTTAAAAGTCCTGCTTACTTTCTTTTCTTTAAAATTTTATTTTTTCTCTAAGAGTATATCCAACTGCGTTCTTAAGCACAGAAAAATACCATGTTCACTGAATGTTGGACTTCCTTTGAAAAAAATCTTTAACTTTCCTTTATGCTTTTTGAAGATAAAACTTACTATTGCTAGTCCTTCATTTGGATGCATGTTCATGTTTTAATGGATCTCTTTAAATACATGAAAACTTATAAAACATGTTTGCAGCCATTGCTTCTCTTTATCCTAATTAAATGACACCCTTTTCTTTGATTCCTCATTTTTATCATTAATCATATTTTACGACTATAATAAGAGCACTAATGTTTTGTCATACATTAAGCAAGTTTATAAATTCTTCATTTTTTTTAATTTTTTTTTTTTAAGTAAACGGTATGCACATTTAACAAATATTCTCTCTTGGACATTTGTGAGAAGATAGGGCACCTATCTGATTGAAATATTGTTATATATTGTTCCTTTGTCCAAATTCTACAAAATGTTGTGACGATTTAATGTTAAGTATTTCAACAATGGCTTTCCATGTTAATATAGCATTTTCAATTACATGTGGCATATAAATTCGATGTTTTGTGATGTCCCCAAAAATTTCAAATGACCATATTGACTGTTATATTTGAACCCTTGCTTTTTTCTTCTAAATTATTGAATCCATCTGAAAAGTATACAGCCTTAAAGATTATTTTGTTTCTACTTATAAAAATTTTATCTTTAATATGAGGTTTGCGGTGATTTATGTAAAAAGCGCGGTTTTCAAATATGCACTTATTTTCATCTTCTTGGCAGAGATCATTTATGAACAGTTTTCAGCTCAGTGTAGTGACCATGCTTACTTTAAAAATGAATTTCTTTGGGAAGACACTATAAGAAATCGTGGGGTTTTCTGCATTCAGTAGATCTTAGATAGAACTTTTCAAATATGAAAAAATAAAATTAAATGCCTCAACATTTATTATGATGTACTGAGTATTGCATTACTTATTGAACGACCCTCGTATTTGTTTTCTTTTTACAGGGAGATTGTATCTGGTGTAAACTCAGTGACCAACATCGGTAATTAGCAACGCATATACCTATATATATATATATATATATATATATATATATATATATATATATATATATATATATATATATATATATATATATATATATATATATATATATATATATATATATATATATATAAAGCACATTTTACAACAACTCTTAAACTAACATAACTGCCCTAAGTGAAGAAATATCAATATAGAAAGCACAAAGAAAATTCACTTTTACATGGATACCCACTTCCGCCCCAGCCCGGGGTTGAACTCTCGACCTTCGGAATCTGTCTCCTAGCAGTGCAGGAACAGCGCGCTAGACCGCTCGGCTATCTAGGCAAGTCCAAAAAAACTTGCTTTCGATGCCGATGGAATTCTCGCGGCGCTGCCCTACACTACACGGTCATTGAGAATAGAAGTGAGATACAGTTATTTGGACATTGGTTTTAACAGAGGATTGTTACCAATACATGTTGTAATGAAATTAATTATTATTTATAAAGCACATTTTACAACAACTCTTAAACTAACATAACTGCCCTAAGTGAAGAAATATCAATATAGAAAGCACAAAGAAAATTCACTTTTACATGGATACCCACTTCCGCCCCAGCCCGGGGTTGAACTCTCGACCTTCGGAATCTGTCTCCTAGCAGTGCAGGAACAGCGCGCTAGACCGCTCGGCTATCTAGGCAAGTCCAAAAAAACTTGCTTTCGATGCCGATGGAATTCTCGCGGCGCTGCCCTACACTACACGGTCATTGAGAATAGAAGTGAGATACAGTTATTTGGACATTGGTTTTAACAGAGGATTGTTACCAATACATTTTGTAATGAAATTAATTATTATTTATAAAGCACATTTTACAACAACTCTTAAACTAACATAACTGCCCTAAGTGAAGAAATATCAATATAGAAAGCACAAAGAAATTCACTTTTACATGGATACCCACTTCCGCCCCAGCCCGGGGTTGAACTCTCGACCTTCGGAATCTGTCTCCTAGCAGTGCAGGAACAGCGCGCTAGACCGCTCGGCTATCTAGGCAAGTCCAAAAAAACTTGCTTTCGATGCCGATGGAATTCTCGCGGCGCTGCCCTACACTACACGGTCATTGAGAATAGAAGTGAGATACAGTTATATATATATATATATATATATAATTATAAAAGAAAAAGAAAATGAAGTTTCCAAATTTCATTTTCGCTTTCTGGATTTCATCATCCGTCTTCAGGTGTACATAAATTGAACTGATTGTTTTGCTTAGTAACGTTAACTATGACGTCATGACGTCATGAGAGTCTTTG